TTTCAATTTTTCAAAACTTAAATTTAAATTTTAAACGGGGTACTAAGATGAAACAAAAACTAAAATTTCTAACAGCAGAGTACTAAAATGATACAAAAACTAAACTTTAGGTATGCTTTTGAAAAAATCAAAAATTTAAGTACTAAAACGGATCAAAACTGATATTTTACCATGTTTTTAATTATAAAGTGGCTTATACCATAGAATCAAGAACAATATATCCTTAATAAGAAGGACAAAAATAATATTTGACAATTAAGTTTGAAATCTCTTGTGGAGCATTACTATAGATGGCTAGAATGTTATCTGAGTGTGTTAAGAATCCGTCAATTTGACCATTCCATCAATTACTATGTTAAATTCGCAGATAATCTATTGTATTAACAACTTTTTCGTAATTTAAATATTTGTCGAACCAACGAAGAGAGTTACTATCAATTGTAGCAGACGACATCGACACCTGAAGGAAATCGACACCCATGGTTTGCTTTGCTCTACCCACTAAAAGAAACTTTGACATCGCAATTTAGATTTTTTAACTCCGTCCCTATGTACAATTTATTATCAGGTATTAACTTAATTATAAAATTACTAAAATACCCTTTTCCTATAAATAATGATATTTTTTTATCTTCTCATTCTCTTCGTAATCTTCAAATAAAAAAAAACAATTATTTAAAGAGAGAACATGTGTCTGATAAAATTATATGTAAAAATTTTACCATTAGAACTCGTTCAGCAACCTTAGCGGTTATAGATGATGTTATTATCCTTTGAGATTCTAAGCTTAAGCAGTTATGTCTAAAAGTTGTTTGCATTGTCAATAATAAAAAAAATTATAAATAGTTGAGTAAAGTAGACAAATGGTCCCTCGACTATAATGTATTATTTTATTAAATTATTCGACTATTAAAAGTTATAAAATGGTTACTCAACTATTTATTATGGTTCAAAATCGTCATTTTCTATTAAAAAAATGGACGATATTATGATCTGAACGTTAACTTGTTAATTGTGATATCATAAAATCTTATCACAGAGTCTCAAACGACTACATTTTTTTAACAGAGAATGATGAGTTTGGAACATAATGAATACTCGAGTGACCATTTTCTAGCTTATAATAATCAAATGACTTAACAAAACAACATTCTACAGTTAGAGGATCATTTTGTAACTTTTAATAGTCAAGAGATCTAATAAGACAATATCTTATACTCGAGAGACCATTTGTGTACTTTAACATAAATAATAATGTCTTATAATTTCCCACTATTCCAAAAAAATTACTGTTACATTTTTTATCATTATTTAATAATTTTTTTTAAGAAAAACAAGTTTTTAATATATTTTTCCTGTAATGTCACTGTGAGAAAATTTGATAGGTTTAATTATAATATAAGTTCTCAAGCTATATCACTATTTAGAATATCACTTTTTCTAAATAGGTACCAAAACTTTTTTGAATCATCAAAGTACCTAATGTTACAAACATTACCATTTTAGGTGCCTGAAACATAATGACCGTTAAAAAATCTATTAAAAGACGTGTCACACTCCGATAATTTTGTTTTTTTTTTTAATTTTAAAAAATATTATATTTATAAAAAACCTTATTTTATTCTAAAATTATAAAAAAGCCCAAAATCCCTGTAAATCCCTAACCCTAACCTTCCTTGCCGACCACGACTGTCGTCGCCGATGCCACCCTTGCCATCTTCCTCATCGACCGTTGTCTCCCTTGTCATCGTGCACGCCGTTAGATCACCTGGATGTCGCGAATTTGGGCATTTGAGTTCATTGAAGACTCGATTTTGTGTTTCAAGTTTTTTGTTTCATTCGTCGAAGATGCGACGTTTATGGTCTGGTTTGGCTTGTTGTACGGTAGAGATTATGATAAAGGTCTGATCAACGTCAAATTGTGATAGTCGACAAGGATTTAGGGATTAAAATTGGAGTTTTTAAAATTAAGGGTTTTTTTGTTTTGTTTTGTTGAAATTTTTGGGTTTTTATAAATATATAATTTTATTTTTTTTATTTTAAATAAAATTTTTAAATTACCAGAATGCAACATGTATAACTTAATAGTGAAATTTAACAATCATTACGGCTCGAGCATCTAAAGTAATAAAATTTGTAATGTTAGGAACCTTGATGATTCAAAAATAAAAGTTTAGATACCTATATAGTAAAAGAGATATAATTTGAACACTATTTATAAATAAGTAAATTTAGTAATAATGATCTATTATGTGGGGGAAAAAAAGGAATTTACGACACGATATCACTATTTTTACTCAAATTATAACAGAAATAAAATTTTATAAAAAGATAATTTATTTAATTTTAAATAAAGTTTTAATTACAAGACTTATGGAGTGTGCAAAAATATCTGATATGAATGATCCGATCCGTTTATCCGATGATAAGGTCAGAATATTTGGATATCCAATCTAATTTTTTCTGGATAACTCAGATCAAATATCCAAATCGCATCGGATACTGATAAAAAAAATCTCAGATTTGGATTGTCCGACTATCCGAAAAAAGGACCTTTATCCCTAGACCCAGTAGCCTTATATTTCATGGACTTTCTACCAAAAATCATGTCCCAAAGATGAATCCATTATTAGAAAACAACTGCAAAAGGTTTTCAAGAAGGACATCGGCTAAGCTACTGCATTGCTTCGTCTCCATTTCCATGACTGACGTGTCAAATGTAGTAATAGTATTATCTGTGAATAAAGCTAAAAAAGACATTTATAACGTTGTCAAAGTGAGTTGGTGGATTTTTAATGGATAATTTAATAGAATTGTTACACTAAGTAATAAAGAGAGACCATTTTTAATAATTAAGATCCGCATAGGTACATCTAAATTCAAAATGATTGGCACCTTTTACCATTTTTCAACTCTTAAAATGGGATAATTCTAGGTAAATAAATGCCATGTTCGGATTGGATATCCGATCCGAAAATTCGAATACCCAAAAATTCATATATCTAAACTTTTCAGATTAGATTTGGATCATCATTCTCATTATCCGAATTTTCAGATCGGATCCGATATCCGAATTTACACACCCTACTCAAATGAAAATATTTTATACTGACATATTATCAATTTTACTCATTTGCTTTAAAATGCTCTTGTTTATAGTAGAGGAACTACTAATTTAGTCACTACATTGTCATTTTGGTTCCATTTTGATAATCGAACTAAATTTTTTTTCAAAATCATATCTAACGTCATATTTCAGTTATCCACCATTAAAATTTGATGGTGTCACCATAAGGTAATTCCACACCATCATTAAAAAAAATATAGCCTCATCAGTAGTTTTGTTTATTTTTTAAATAATTGGTGACCAAAACTGAGTCAAAACATAACGTTTGATATAATTTCTTAGAAAAAAGAAAAAATAAATGGGTGACCAGAACGAAACCAAAGTGATAGTTGGATGACTATGAACATAATTTTCAGAGTAAATTAATTACATTGTGTAATTGTCAATTGCGAGACTCGGGAAATATTCAATACCTTCAGGGTGCGTTTGGTTCACGGAATATAAGATTACCAGTGAGAATAAAAGATTACCAGAGAATAGGATTACTGGGAATGTTGTATTTTATGTTTGGTTGATTTAGTAGGAATGTAAGATTACCGTGTTTGGTTAAAGGAATAAAAGATTATTAGAATGTATATTTAACCAAATTGTCCTTATTATATATTTGTATAATATTACAAATTGTAAAATATTTATATATTTTCTTTAAAAAAAATAAATTCATAATATTTATATAATTTTTTAAAAAAATTAAAAATATAAAAAAAGTTTAATGAAAGGGTAAAAAAAATTTTACCCCTGAACTTCATATAAAATTTTAATTATAGATTTTTTTTTATAAATCTAAAATAATTTAAGAATAAATTTATAATTTAATCTTCGTAAAATTTTTATTATTCAATAACAGAAGAAGGATATTTTTGAAAAAAAAATAAAAATTTATGAACATTTTAGCTCAAAACGCCAGTAATGTTACAATACCTAAGGGAATGGAGGTAATGACATTTCTGATAATATACCCCAAAAAATCTATTATTGGTAATAAAACATTACCGAAAATGAGATTCTCAACCAACAAAACATGAATCCTTGAACCAAACACCCCCTCACAGGTTTCCCAGCCACTCATTATACTCATCCATTCTTATAATAAAGGAGCTGGAACTTGGACAGCCACCCCCGCCATATGCCTTCAAGTTATACAAAAGGGAAACCAAATCAGTTTCAAGGTTTATCACACAGTATTTCTAACTACAATAACACCAACCACTGCATTAAATTATAATGCCTACCTTTGCAACTTCAGATGTGTCGGTTGTAATGTCAGTGCTTCTTAGGCACATCTTCAGATTTTTCCTTTGCATGTATATAACAGACCAATGCATGATTTGTAACGCAATTACAATGATCATATCTAGATCGATTGGAAAAGAGTGAACGATTCCACATAGAGAATTTTGTTTGTGTGCAAGGGAGTATGGTTGTCGATACCATATCGGTTCCGGTTAGGGATGGCAACGGGCCGGGTATTGGTCTCCCCGTCCCCGTTTAAAAAATCCGTACCCGTTCCCGCTTAAAAAACCGCATGAATTTAAACGGGGATCCCCATCGGGTAATCGGGGAAAACCGCGTGGAAACGGGTATCCCCGTTTAGCATAAACGGTTATTTAAACGAGTATCGGGTCGGATATATATATTTAAATTAAATATATAAATATTATATATATATTTTAATTTAAATTAAATTTATTAATATTATATATATATATATATAAAATAATTATTTTTAATATTTATCGGGTCGGGGTATCGGGCCGAGTATCGGGCCGGATAATCGGGTAATCGGGACGGGAATTACCAAACCCGTCCCCGTTTAGCATAAACGGTTTTCCCCCATCCCGTCCCCATTTAGCATAAACGGTTTTTTCTCGTCCCCGTTTAATTCGATTTTCGATTTTTCCCATCGAATTTGGGTTTTTTTTGCCATCCCTAGTTCCGGTAGGAAAAAGAGATAATGATACATACCACAACAAGAATTTGTTTGTTCAGAAAGGAACATGATTACCGGAACCAGCAGTACCACTATAGTACTGACAACCTTGGTAGGACTAGGAAGTCTTCATCCTTAAACATTTTATATATGATATATTTACCTTAGACCAGCAGTGACACTTTTTAGGCTTAGTTGCTTGCCGATTTCGTCGCTTAAATCGGAGTTTCCATCTGCTCTAACTCCCTAAAACCAAAGTAATGGACAAAACTTAATCAGAGAAGATTACAGACTCCATGGGATTCATATGATCATATCCGTAAATCAGAAGTAATGAATGGAACCCTACATCTCAAAAGTAAACAACTCATGACAGAGAAGGGATATCCATTTCAGGGATTATTAAATGCAACATTTGTTATGACATTACCAGGCATTCCCCATACAATCCTCGGCCCAATCGAACTTTAAATGTCTTATCCAGAAACTCGTTTGCAGCTATTTGGCGAGAGGAAATATGCAGATTTCCCTTAGCAATCAAATCAGTTGAACTGATCCCAAGTAACTGCAAACACAAGACTTCAGCATTAGAAAAACTGCGAAGGTCATGCAAAATGTAATCATACAAACATCTTTCAGATGCAAATTATGCAAGTTATAGTGCCAAGTGGCAAACAAGGAAATATTAGCCACAGAGTAAATAATTAGGGAAAATTATGAAAACAAATTAACACCAATTCTCGTCTAAAAAAGCATAATGCGATAAGTTCAAGGTTTGAATTCATCTAAATAACCACAGTCCAACAAATAAAAACAGAAAAAAAGTGATCAATTTCTGAGCAATGAACCTGCTCATACATGTATGGATTCGTGATGCAATTCAACTTGGAACGCAACTCACTGATTCCGACCATAAAAGCTTTAATTTCCGGTAAGCTCCATCTACAAAGATCTGCATCTTCAATATACTTCAGAACATTTTCAACACGACCTCGGTCTTCTAAGTTCAACAAATTGGCAGCCCCCACCTTATTCAAATTAAGAGAAAGAAATTAACCATTTAGTCTTTAGGTTATACATACATACACATACACAAAAACACGCATGCACAGAATCAAATCACTCTAGTAAAAGTAAAATACAGCAAAAAAACATAATTATGTACATATATACTCACACCAAGAGATATCATTGTCGCAAGCTTATTAGAAAAATACTCATATACAGCAATAGAGCTACTCTTCTCAAGATTAGCATTGAATGCAACTCTCAGATCTCCAGAAAAGTTGATTTGTGGAAGTGCCGACTTTCGATGATCAAAGGCAACCACTCTACAAAATCTTAAATAATCAGAGTCTCATCTAGTTCGTAAAGCGAAATGATTATCAAAGTTAAAAGAAGAGGAAGCAGAAGAAACTACACGTACTCGCACATTAATTGCTGTGAAAGCCTTGTGGCAAATCCTTTCGGATCGACGAAGTCGATAACACGTGTCTAGTCCCGTCCTTCAACGCAAAAATCTTCGATCCTGTGAAATTCAAAGAAATTATAAGAAAACTGATGCTTGCATAATTTGAAATGTTAAGATTAAAGAACCTGAGAGGTTCAACGGAGGAGAAAGGCAAGATAAGGGAAGAGAGATTAAGGCGGGAGCGGTAGAGGTGAGCGAATAGAGCGGAGATTGCGCCGGAAAATGAGTAGTGTTGTAAAGCGCCACGGTTCGGACTCTCTCTTCAGCCGCTTTCGCTATCGCTTCCAGCGCGTCGTCTGATCGGAATTTTCGAGGCCGCCATGGATTCGAAGTTTGGCGTGAAATTAGCCTCCATTTTGCGCCAATCCAGTGACAGTGAGGCATGTTCTGGTGCGTGAACTGAGTTGGGTTGGTGGGTTTCAAATTTCAGTAATTTCTTTGTTTATTTATGGGTAATATAATGACCGGTGATGGATCGCAGATCTTAAGGCCCAATTCCTAAGATAATGGATCAGGTTTGATTGAGTTGGAGGTCTTAATACCAATTTTAAATTACTTTTGAAAAGTACAGTTTGAACAAATGATATACAGTACTTTTAAAACTGAATTGGAAAAGATTAAGTTTAAGATTTTACTCTTTGACATTGTTATTCAAAACTACTTTTTAATAAGATAAAATATTCATTTTAAACATATATTATAAACTAAAGTTATATTATTTTAAATTTATTAATATTTTAATATATCAGATTAAATTATAAAAATAAAAATCACAAATATAATTATAATAAAAATATATAATAATTTTTTTAAAAAAAATTCACGAGCAAAATGTAATTAGTATATAATTAATACATAATTTATAAAAACAATTGAATTTTAAAATTTTGTTGGGCAAATGAGTGGTATCATAGTAAGGGTAAAGCATAATTTTGTTTCTAAACAAGAATTTGAACCAGAAGAGTTAGAAAATCCAGTTTTTGCGTTTAGTTTAAAACTATTCTTCTAAACACACTTTTACTTTTAACTTTTAGCCGTTTGATAATGATTTTGCTTTCAAATCTGACTTTTAGACCAAAAGTGCGTTTAGAATTGCCAAATGAACTCTTAGTTACTTAGTTATAGAGGTGGCAAGCAAGTCATTTGGATCGAATTTAGGCCGAATTACTTCAAATTTAGATTTGATTTGGGTCATCTTTGGATTGGGTCGGATTATTTTGGGTTTGAATTTATTCGGATATGTGATAAGTCAGGTCGAGTAAGGTATAAGATCGGTCAATACTAGATTTATTGATTTTCATTGGGTTAATATTGGAACAATTAATTTTCGAGTCAAGTCAAATTGAGTCAATCAATTTTCAGATCAGATCAATATCATAACGATTACTTTTCGAGTCAAGTCAAATTCAATCTATCAATTTTCAGATCGGATCAATACCAAGTTAGTCATTTTCAATAATAATAATTTTTAATTTTCAATTAATTCCCTTAACAATTTAAACCTACTAATCACACCCCAGCAATATAAAATAAAATAATAAACGACCCAAATTATCATTTACTAAGTATATTTTGATTTATTGTTTTTTGTGCTTAGGATCACTTAGCGAAATTACATCAACACCCATAAAAAAAATTACATCAACACTCTTTCCCTTCCTCATATGGAAGTCATCTTGTTTATCACATAAATTAATTTACATCTTATAACTTGTTTCTGTGTTTGTTTTTACAGCAATTTGAACATACTTTATCTAGTAGCTAAAACATGAAAGCTCAGCTCATTGAAGCTTTAGTTTTTAAGAGTGTGCAAGCTGTTGATGGAGTACTGATGAGTCTATCCACAGTTTGTGAGGACCAGATTTCTATATGAGCAACTGGAGATTAACATGCCTTCATTTGCTTCCTGTGACCCAATATTTGTTGGCTGCTTAGTATTATCAGGAGGAAAAAAATGATTCATAGCAGATATCTGGTGTACCTTCCTTTGACGTTCAACATTTTCTTGGCAAATAAGGTCTGCCTTCCTATGTAGTTCTATATTCTCCTGATGAATGAGGTGTCCCTGCAATCCCATATATGAAAGTTACTCAACAGGAGAAATCAGCAGAAGAAAATGCAGCAAAAGCAAAAGTTTTATAACCTTGCGGTTTAGCTCTTGGATTTCATTTGTTAGAATTTGGTCCTGCAGATGAAAATTATATATAATTGGGTATCGAGTGTTATAAACGCAAATTTCATCTTAGTTTAAAGCTGTGTTACTCTTACCTTTCTCATGCGAATGTTTTTCAAACTCGTTTCCAACTGGTTTTCTAGGCTTTGTAGATCTTTGACGCTTAAACCAGACAGTTCTTCCCCCATCAACTGCCTGCAATTCATCTCATGTTATGAATGTCATATACAGTAATGTTACTCCAGTCAAAATAAACAAGTTGAAATTAACTCTTATGCATGTTCGCACTGAAGTTTGAGCTTAACTGGGAAATAAACAAGTACTAAAGATAACTGGGATTTTAATATGATGCGTACAAATCATGAGGAATGTGTTCTTAGTTGTTCAAAACATGGTGATTTAGTACTTCTGTGGAATTGGTTATGGGAAAGAATTGTACATTGAAACTTCACTAAGAGCGTTAACGGAGTCACAAATATTTTTCAGATGAGTACGTATAGTAGTAACAAATAAAATTTTAGGGTGGACACCGTCAATAAAATGGACAACTAACATAAAAGATTTCGGATTTTAAAATGGACACTTGCTAACCCGGAATAACACTTACATCCGCCATTGACCCGGAGAAGCACTGGTTATAAGAACAGTGTAACTATAATACATTACTACCAAAAAAATGAATCTGGAGTGTTATTTGTGTACTTCTTAGGCCATAAGATTCAGGAATTGAGTCACAGGCAATCGGCAGAAAAATAGCTCAAATTCATCCAAGAGAAAGTGAAACCTTACGATACGACGGATACATCACATAGAGACCTCAAATTTTTAGGTTTTGATAAAAATTCTATTCCATTCGGGTATGTCACGCGTATTGTAATAATAATTGATTCGTTTTAGTACCTAAACTTTCAAAATTTTCAAAATTATACTTAACATTTAGTTTTTATTTTATTTTAGTACCCGTCGTTAAAAACTTAACAAGTTTAGTACGTAAACTATCAATTTTGGTCTATTATAGTATCTAAACTTTTAATTTTGTTCAAAACTTAACGTTAAGTTTTTAAAGAGGCACTTAAATGAAACAAAAACAAAGTTTTATGGTTTTAAAAAAAATTGAAAGTTTAAATACTAAAACGGATCAAAACTGATAATTTAGTACTAAACGTATAATTTACCCTAGTAAGTATTATTATTCTAAGGAGGATATCCATTTATTCTATATTAGGAGTTTTACTAGGCAGCGATTATTCATTTTTATTAGCTAAAAGGTTCTCTCTTTCATTGTAACCCCTATATAGGTATTTTCCTATTCAATTCAACAAAGTCGAGAAATATTTTTAAAATTGAGATCAAACGACTCTCTCAAATGGGTCTCTAAGGTGGATCATCCGTTTACGAGAATCATAGCTAGAAAGCATAACAAGAAGATGATTGTGCAATGTAGTCCTATTCATCGCGGTCCTATACCTAAGATCATAACAATTTGAGCTCATAACTAACAGAGGTGAGCAAAATTCGATTCAAAATAAATCATTTTTTATTGGATTTGAATTAAAAAAGACTCGAATTAATTTCGAGTTATAATTTTATAAACTCGTATTGACTTGAAAAAATTACAAATTCAAATCGAGTTATAAAATACAACTCTAATAACTTAAATCAATTCCCTCGACTTTATATGATATATGTATTTTACAAATGATATGGTTATAAAAAACTATTTAAATTAGATGCAAATACTATCATTATTAATTATTAATAGATATAGTGTGTCTTCTAACTGTTGTGTAACGTAAAGTTGTTGAGTTTGTTGTAATTGAGTTCATATAAGTGAGTTTTGTGTATTGGACTGATGAAGGTTTTTGTATTTCTTCAATAATGTAAATAAAACTCTCTCGTTCAGACTTTTGTTTCTTTTTCCTCTTCTTCCTTTGACCTTTCTGTTAGTTCTCAGGTCAATTAGGTTTATATATTCGAACATGGTATTAGAGTTTTTTCGATGAGATTTTCTGGCGAAACGGTCATCAGTAGTTTAGCTAGAAGTTTTTTCTTCAATTGATGTTGCTGCGCTCATCAGATATGCCTTCAAGCTGTCAATTGCTCTTCAATGAGTTATGATTGTTGCGTGATTTGAGGATTTCTGTGGCTCTTATTTTCTTTGTTTTGGTGAGATCGCTCCTCTTTTGTCCTATTTTCCTCTGATTTAGGTGTTCTCCTGTTTGATTATGAGTGTTGCTTTTGTTTGGATGAGGCTTGTTTTTGTTTATTGCGTCTGATCGTGTTCCTCTGTGTTTTTGTTGTGCTTTCTCTGTATTTTTTCTGTGGTTATTCATGGCCATTACTGATGACACTTCTGAGGTGAATCGTAGAAATGTCAGTAGTTCATCTAGGATCTTTTCTACTAAGAAAATTAATGTGGTTCTAGATGATAATAACTATTTGTTATGGCATCAACAAGTGTTTTAACTATCAAGACTTATCGTCTCCAAAAGTATAGTGGCAGTAATGTTACTCCTCCTCCTCATTATATAACGTCGGAAAATCAAGTTAGCATTAATCCTGAATTTAGGTCTTTTGAAGAACAAGATGGAGCTCTTGCCTCGTGGCTCTTTTCTACTGTTAGTGAAATTGTTTTACCTCATCTAATTGGTCTTAATACCGCTTCTGAAATTTGGAACACTTTACATAGAATACATAGTGATAAGACTACTTCTAGGTTGATTTTTTTAGGAGATTACTCCACTCTCAAAAGAAGGATGAGCTTAGTATTAAGGAGTATTTGTTGAAGGATAAATCTGTGTGTGATAACTTGGCCAGTTGTGGAGAGATTATATATGAGAATGAGCATATTACAGTGTCCTTAATGGTTTGCCTCCTGAATATGACTCTGTGACTACCTTTTTGACTGCTCAATCTATTTTTTCTACTTTTAGAGAAGTTAGCACTGTTTTCTTGATGTCGATGCTAGATAAACTTCTTTTAATAGTCATGTTTTTGCTTCAGTACATCTTGCTACTCATCAAAATGTTAGTTCAACTTCACAGGGTGTGTCTGCTAGTAATAATGTTGTGAACAATGTTAGCAGTGATAAAGCTGATTATTCTCAGTATCAAAGAGATAATAATAATTGTGGAAGAGGTAGAGGTAAATCCTCTCGACCCCAATGTCAGCTCTATAGTAGGATGGGGCATTTGGTTGAATAATGTTATTTTCGTTTTGACATGGCCTTAAAAAATGAGTCATCAAGGAATGCTTCTAACAATGTTGATAGGAGACTGTCCCCTATTCAAGCTAATGTCTGCACTATCACTAATTCTTTTTCTACTATTCATTTTACTATTACTAACCATTTTATTGTCATGCATTATCCTACCCCTGTTATGACAGTTCCTCAAGGGTTTGCTCCAATGGTGTAAAATGTTCATGGGACTTCCTATTCTGCTATATCTTCTCCTCTTGTTTCCCAACCTGCTTATGTTTCTATGCTACCGTCCGCATTATACTGCAACAAGACCTTCTCAAGTCAATGCTCAAGTTCATGTTGTGACTCCAAAAGTGGTTGATAGCAATTCTTGGTATCCAGATTGTGGAGCAACACACCACCTTACTAATGATCTGTCTAATCTGCAAGTGGACACAACTGCCCTCACTTTTCGAAATATCCAAGTGGGCAATGGTAACACCTTACCTATTTTTTATAATGGGCATTCTAGTTTAATTTGTTCTGCTAAAGAGTTTACATTAAGAAACTTACTGTTTGTTGCCAGGGATCACTAAAAATATTATCTCTTTGTCTAAGTTTACACAGGATAATTAAGTTTGTCTTGAATTCTTTCCCAATTTTTGTTAAGCAAGAGACTTAAAAACAAAGCAGGTGGTGCTGAAATGGGTTGAGTCAGCTGGTTTATACAAACTCTCTTGATTCCTTTATATCTCTTAGGATTAATGATACTACTAAGAATGTTACTGCTACTCAAAAGTGTTGTCTCACTGATACATATCCTATTCTTAATTCTGTTTCTTTAGAAATTTGGCATAATAAACTTGGGCACCCTTCTCAAGATGCCCTTATTGATGCTTTGAAAAGTTGTAAAATTTCTTTTTTCTCGTAATAAAAATTCTAGTTTTTGTCAAGCATGTCAATTTGGAAAAATGCATAAGTTTCCTTTTTCTAGCTCACACACAATTTATGATAATCTTTTAGAGTTGGTTGTTACTGATGTTTAGGGCCTTACCCCTATTTATTCAGTTTGTTAAGCTAGCTGAAAAGCAGTTGAGTGCCAAGCTTAAAGTGTTGCAGACAGATGGAGGAAGTGTGTTTGCTCCTTTGCGAGGTTACTTCAAAGAACAAGGTATTCTACATAGGTTGTCTTGTCCTCGCACCTCTGCGCAGAATGGGATTATTGAGAGGAAGCATAGGTAGATTATTGAAATTGGGTTGACCCTGTTAGCACAAGCATCTTTGCCATTGTGTTTTTGGTTTTATGCATTCTCCACTGCTATTTTTCTAATTAGTCGACTTCCAATGTCAGCTTTGGCAGGTATGACTCTTTATCAAAAGTTGTTTAATCAGTTTCCTAATTAACATATTTTAAAAGTATTTGGTTGTTCGTGTTACACCCCGGATTAGGCCTTATAATAAACACAAGTTACAATTTAGGTCTCCACCCTGTGTTTTTCTTGGTTATTCTCTAGTTCACAAGGGGTATAAGTGTCTTGATTCCTTAGGTAGGGTTTATGTGGGCGATTTGACCTAAATATCACCCTATAAACCTAATATGCCCTAAATAACATTGTTTCACCAATATTTCCCTAACTAATACCCTTTCGTCTGAGGTGGCAATAAGGCGCGCTTCCGGTAACGCGCTTTAGCGGGATTTGCTTATGTGGACATAAGACACGTTTCCGGGAACGCTCTTTCCAGCTGGTGTGGCACCACAGTGGAAAGAGCGTTTCAGGGGACGTGCCTTTGCTTTATTTTTTTAATTAGGGTAAAGATTTAGGATTTATGGTTTAGAGTTATTATAAATTAGTAATTTATTATGTAAATTGTTTCGGTTATGATTTAAGAATTGTCGAAGGTATTTTTTAATTTGTATTTAAGGTGGAGTGAATTTAGGTTAAAGTGTTATATGTTTCGTTAAGGTGAAAGTGATGAAGGATTTTGTAAGTCAAAGGTTCATTAAGGTTGTGTA